GCCGGTATTCTCTGCGCCATTGTTTCCCACCCTGCTGATGTCATGGTGAGCAAACTTAACGCGAACCGTGAGCCCGGAGAGGCTTTCGGGAAGGCGATGAGCCGAATCTACAAAGACATTGGCTTTTCAGGTCTCTGGAATGGCCTTCCGGTTCGAATTGTCATGATCGGTACCTTGACTGGTTTGCAGTGGATGATCTATGTAAGTCTCTCAACCCACCTTTTCGTACGATACCTGGCGAGACTCATCGGTTTTCTCTAGGATTACTTCAAGATATTCATGGGCTTTCCAACCACGGGTGGCCCCGCCCCAGCCAAGGAGTCCAAGTGAAACCGGTTGCGTGATCAGCACAGGCAACGTGTATAGTAGAAGTAGTACGATTAGTCCAGCGATGCGGAAAGCTCGGGTGTAGCAGTTGTTCACCATCGAGCTGGCCCACATGCAAGATCCTTGGCGTAAGAATCGGGAAGATAGGTTCAACAGAAATAACTGGAGACTCTGCTCTTTTTCCACCATCATAGTCCGCAGGCAAGCGAGAAAAGTCGCCGAGCGGATGATTTGTAAACCAGGCTGGGGCCTGCGGGCTACGCTATCCGGCTTGACCTGAGGGTTTTCTATGACCAGGCCAAGGCGCGGTCAACTGGTCCCGTTTCCTCGAGCTTCTCTGCTCTAGATCCCCAGCTGATATACTTAGCCTGGAGAGCATCTGACGCACTATTGCCGTCCGCTACGTCACGCACCAGCGGTATAACTCGGGGTACCCCGGCATGCTCGAGCTGGAAGAGAGTGATCGAACATAACCACTGTGTTCTGGCGGTCATGTGCCCCGAACTAGGTGCGTAAGCTGATGCAGTTGGCCCTTTGGGTTGGGCGTTTCAACGTTGACGACCCTTGGGAAAGATGTTGGGGAAACCTTTGAGTTCCTCCAACGCCAATATCCCTGAGGCTTGGGCGGCTAGAGTAGACCGTCGATGGGAATGGAGACGTGAGAGATATTCCTATTGGGTGGGTACCAACAGGGCAAGCGAGGATGCAACCCACACTGCTTGGACACGTACATTGGAGTACTTGGGCATGAATACACTTGCACATACTGTGCCGGGTATATGTACAAATATGTCCCTCTCCGTCCAAGAATTACTTACATCCCGTGGTTGGCGTTGGTGCATGCCGGCTTGGATGAAACCCCAGGCCACCCATTGCAAAACCTGGGGCAACCTGATCCTAGCCGCATTCAGAATGACACCTGGTAGGGTCGATGTTGATGAATTGGTTGAATGGTCTATATCCATTCTCTGAGTTCTGGGTGCTACAGAATCCAAGAATCCAGGTGCTCTGTGACTGTGTTTGGAGGATGTGCTGGATTCCAAGCCATGCCCATCTGGACCCTCAAGTGCCGAAGGAGAGAATTGGCTCAATGTGTCTCGCGACACAAATTATTGAACTCAATTGCATGGTCTGACGACAGTGCGATTACTGGCCTCGGTGGTCCCTGCAACTCATAGTAACCGTACTGATCAGCGGACCTGGGTATCATCGCGCACGATTCTACCACCCGACTGGTATCCAGATCATCCGTATCACCGAGTTTCTCCCTACGAACTGTGTAACAATCAGCCTGATATCAGAGTGACGCTCGCCACAATTACGCAACGATCGACCAATGAGGAAGCTAACAGATTAAGACTCGCAACCTAATTCAGTGCGTCGTGTTGTTCTTTTGTGCTACAAACCAACACTCAGTCAAAGGACATGAATCACAATAGGCATTGTTGCTCTCCGTACATGAAGAGCTAGGAAGACGCACAGGCCTCCAATGGAGACATGAGAAGCACCAGTGCAATGCGCGATATATATCCTCTAGGGGCGACTTCCGGCCATTGTAGCGGTGGATTGTGCTGTAAGTCGACTCACACCCCGATGTGCACTTGTCCCACCCACTTAATCCCAACAACAGTGGTCAAATCCTCTTGGGTGGCAAGAGTTGTAACGAGGCAGCATCCGGGGAGGTTGAGCGAATACCTGTTTTGAGCAGACATGATGTGGTAGTCAAACTGATTAAAGCCCCCGGTAAGCATCAATGAGCACGTGTGATGTGAGGGTGAGCAAAGAGTGGGCGACACCGACCCAGGCCACAAGATCTCCAGGGTGTCGCTGAACTCCACGAGATTGACGGCCAACGGTTGTAGGGTCAATAGAGAACGGACCGACTAGACGCAGGATACGATACCCAAGATGCGGGTGCATGTGGATGATTGGCGCATAGAGAGGCAACCCCACACTCGATGACGATAATGGAGGGTGCCTCCAGGTCAGTACCAAGACGGAACAGTGCCGAAACTCAAACCCGTAGGAGCCAACAGCTGCTATTTGAGGGCGAATCTAGGCTGGGTTGGGTATGTGGCGTGACGAATCACGGCACGAGGGGCTGAGAATCGGATTGCCCTCGTGAATGCAGGAGTCGATTCTCGGACTGGACAGCTCACAACGTGGCAAAGATGGACGATACCAGTCCGGATCCTAAGCAAGCAGGCCATTACCACCGCTCAGGTTCTTGTTTTGACGCGAGGGGAGCGTTGGTAGTGGGACCAAAGGCTCTAATGTGCGTAATCTGCAGATTGCATACATATTCTGGAAGCTGCATGTGTAGCACCAATAGCCTACCTATGTATCGGCCAACGACCCAGAGCGAGTTCGCTGGAGAGCGGTTGGTGCAGGGGGCTGCCGGGGGGCTCACCTACCTACAGTGTTAGTTAGCGAGCGCTACGTTCTGCTAAGCTAGGTGGTGTTAGTCCGTTAGCAGTTGGTCGTCGTACGGGTACTGCGGTTCTCCGCAATCTGGGCCACCAACTAGTGAAGCGCGCTATGCCTCACCTAGCGTATATCCGTCCTAGCGCCCTCCCCAACTCCGCTGAACGTGCTAGTCGACCTGCTAACGATGGTGGGCCATCCATATATCGCTATCATGGCCTCCATTTCTGTTGGCCGGCAGGCGGGATAGCCTGCTGGAGAGTTGTCCAATGGTTCGAGTACAAGTCGCGTGTTTAAGGAATTTGCGTAGCCCCGGCAGCGCCGTTGATGGTACTTGGTTAGAGTGCCGCGTCGTCCATGTGAAGAGCTCCCAAGCCTCGCTGCGCTTTTCCGCTGCTAGTTGCAGGCACAGAGTCGGGCAAGTCCCGCCAACAAGCTCCACTGGTGTTAATGACGCAGTGAGAGGCAAATTGACACCTCGAACCCTTCTGAAAGTGTGCGGAGATGCGTCGCCGGGGGTGTTTCCCTTGTTTGGGGGCCGTTAGGAGAGTATGAGCAGCGAGCGCTGCCGGTTTCCCATCCGGATGGCCTTGAAGTGGGCGGTGCCAGCTTGGATATCGCCAATGGCAGAAAAAGGCCGTCTCGTCGTCGTCGTCGCCCTTCTGCTCCTGCAAGTTCATGCTGGCCAACCCCAGTTGGCTGTTAAAGTGGTTCTGTCATACAGGTACCAGGGGCATGCGAGGTATTTGAGGTAGGTACTCCAACGCCTGGGACGTATGCCCAGGGATCAAGCACACCCCTCGCACAATGGAGGCGCTCTTGGCACACAACCCGTCGGCTGGTGGAAGATGCGATGAGAAGCGTCACCGCTCCGACGGGAGATATAGCAGGTGGGGATGCCGTAGGGGGAGATGCTGCTCCGCGAGAGGCCGTCCTGTATATTGTACGACGAGAGCTGCCGTCGATCTTGCAGCTATGACTACGGAGAGGCCAGATGCTCGATGCCAGCCAGCCAGATGCAGCGGCCGGGGCAGCAGGCGACCGGGTTGCCACGACTGGACTGATTGGTGGTGCATCGGCAAGGTACCTAGGGGACTAGGCATGTAGATAGGGTAGCGACGTACCTTGTTGCCAGGGGTGGCAGGCAGGGACGCTTTGGTTGGGTGAGGTGCAGGGCGACTTGAGTGGCCAAGGAAGGAAGAATCGAACAGTACCACGCTTCGGTTTCCCCACCACTCAGGTGGCATGGCATGCACCGTCACCTCACCTCACATCTGGGGCGGCTTTGGCTTTTTGGGGCTCATCAGACTCCACTATCCACATGCCTGGACTCTGGGGGGGGGTCTTGGCGTGAAGGAAGGGCAAGTACCTTTTTCGCCCCGATTCTTCCCTGCCTGCCCTGCCCTGCCCTGCGGTGCTGCCTGCGGTGCCTGCCCTCGTCTCAGGGATGGAGGGCTCAGTGCCCGCGCCCGTGTCCGTGGCCGGAGGTCGGTCGCTGGTGTCTGGAGTGGCTCCGCTGGCGTGTGGTGCGAAGGATAACTCCGCGACTTTGACTCGCTCCTGAGTCCACTTCAGGCTACTAACCTTGCCTCCAGGCGTTCTAATCGCTAACTTAACTCCGCTGACGGGGGGCGGCCCAGGCTTTCCAGCCTTTCTCCAGCCTGCGTGAGCACAACCCCCCACCCCCCGTCCCAGGTATCATCCCATGCAATTAGTAACCAATCCCCCTACCTTCTTCCAACCAACCTTGCAGTAGCCAGTGTAGCACGTAGCTGGTAGGTAACCTACCCATCTGCCTTGTCAACGGCCATATGCCTGCTCTCGCACTCCTTCCAGCTGTGACGCCCCCCTTCCTTCCCTTCCTCTGATACAAGCTCTTCTTCGTCTTCCTCGGGTCGCCCAATGATTCGCATTGTCTAGAGAACACACAAAGTTGTTCCCAGCTACTCTCGCGCCTCGCTGTCCTCCCGCCACGCTGGGCGCAATCGCACCATCACCCGAATCGAAATACCGGGCACCTGATCCGATTCGGAGTCCGCGACACCACGCTCTCGGTGCCTACACGACGAAACAATTCTACCGACATTGATCTAAAGTCATCTTCACAGGAATTGGATGCGCATGGTCTACTCTACTTGTCGCTCTGAATTGTTGTCCAAGCAAGCGTTGCGCAGCGTTCGCTGCGGACCTTCGCCAACAACCAACCTCTCTCGCCTCGACCCCGGGATTCGTAACGACCCAACGCCACGATGGCGGCTTTCTTCAACAAAATAAAGAGTGCCAGCACGGTATGCCCAGAGAATCCCCTCTTCCGGGAGGCATCCCACGTTTCAATCCGCTTTTTGTCTCCTCTTCTCCTCTTCCTCCTCCTCCCCACCTTCCGCCGCCCACCCTCGACCCCAAGACGATTCCGATAACTGACGAAAATAACGATCTACGCAGGCCTCGGGAAATCCAACAGTCAAAGACAATGCAGCAAAGAAGAGGGATGAGCAGATTGTCCTGGAGATGACTCCATTGGAGAAAATGCTCCGGAACGCGGGGCCTCTACGCGAGGACGGTAGTGACAGGTTCTATGGGTTTGAGAATGTACGCAACCCCTCCCACCCTTGCCCTCCAGCCATTTGCATCCAACAAGCCGATAATTTTCCACAGCTAACACTGAGAGCAGTTTGGGAATACTTGGTATGGCTGCCTCTGACAGAATGTCCTACTTGGATTGGCTCTTTATTAACAGCAGGTGCAGCTACTGCAATTCGATTGTCCAGGCTCTCTTTTACTCAGATCTTTTCCGAAATAGCGTTATCAACTATCCCTCCCTTTCGCCCTCAGAAACGCCAGATGGAACGCGGCCTCGAGTTAACGTATCGATACGCCCGCCAATGCAGCCAACGCCCCCGAACCCACCAAATGGCAAGCAGAAAGGGCTATCCAGTTCCCAGGTGATAAAGCAAAGGCAGGCCATCAACGCAGGCATGCCTCCCCCCGGACAGGGACCAGTCCGTCCGGAAGACAAGCCCGATACGCCAGAATACAAAAAGAAGCAGGCCATGCTCAAAGGTCCTATTTTGGAGCTGGCACAGGAAAATGGCAACGCTTACGGGATGGACGAATGCACCTTTACCGGGTTGAAGGATATATTCTTAGCCCTTATCGAGAGCCAAACGCGAACTGGGGTGCTCAGCCCACAGAGGTTTCTCGAGATATTTAAGCGGGATAACGAAATGTTCCGAAATTCCATGCATCAGGATGCACACGAGTTCTACGGGTTGGTTCTGAACGACGTCATCGCAAACGTTGAGGCAAATGCCCACAAATTCAAGACACAGCTGGAAACTCAGCAAAACGGCCTCGCGCAGTCCGTGGAGAATGCGCTGGGCTCGGCAATGGCAAAGCACATCAACGGAGTCACAACCCCAGGAACAGGCTGGGTCCATGACATTTTTGAGGGCGTGTTGACTTCCGAGACCAAATGTTTAACATGCGAGACTGGTTCACAGCGTGATGAGACATTCCTGGATTTATCTATTGACTTAGAAGAGCACTCGTCGGTTACATCGTGCCTACGCAAGTTCTCGGACGAGGAAATGCTTTGCGAAAGAAACAAATTCCATTGCGACCATTGTGGTGGACTTCAGGAAGCGGAGAAGAGGATGAAGGTCAAGCGATTACCAAAGGTGCTGACACTACATTTGAAGCGCTTCAAATACACGGAGGATTACAGTCGTCTTCAGAAACTCTTCCACCGAGTGGTGTACCCATATCATCTACGAATGTTTAACACGACTGACGAGGCAGAGGACCCGGACAGGCTGTATGAACTTTACGCTGTTGTGGTTCATATTGGCGGCAATGCGTACCATGGACATTACGTCTCCATCATCAAGACTCAAGATCGGGGCTGGGTCCTGTTTGATGACGAAATGGTTGAACCCGTGGACAAGCATTTCGTCCGGAACTTTTTCGGTGAGAAACCGGGCATGGCAACAGCATATGTCTTGTTCTATCAAGAAACGACATTTGAAAAAGTCAGGGAAGAGCAAGAAAGAGAGGGAATGGAGGATATCAAGCTGGCAAGCCAGGCGGCGTCCTCGGCGCAGGAAGACGACGATAAGAGCCCCAAGGCTTCTACACAACTCAAACGCCAAGCCACATTTTCTCAGCGAGCAACTGTCGATCACGAAGAGTTGGGTAAGCTCGCACGGACGAACACACTACCCGAGCAGGCCCTATCGTCTCCTCCAATTCCAGCTCATGCCAACCCCCCTATCCCTGAAGTCCCGGTCACAACAACCAACTCTGCTCCAGAGCCGGCAGAAGTAGTCAAGTCAAAGGAGGACAAGAAACGGGAGAAGAAAGAGCGCGAGGCGGCGGAGAAGGCAGAGAAGCAGGCGGAGAGGGCTGAGAAGCTGGCTGAGAAGGAGCGCGAGAAGCAGGCGAAGCTGGAGGAAAAGAAGCGGCAAGAAGAGCGCATCAAGAACCTGCAACAAGCGCGCAAGAGTGAAAGCGACGAACTACAAAAAGCGCTCGAAGAGAGCAAGAAATTGGCGAAGGAAGAAAATGCAAAGAAGAGGGAAAGCGGGGGCTCGAGCCCGTTCGGCCTTCTTGACAGGTCCAAACGAGGCAGCAAGTCGATGGCCAAGCGGAGCTTCAGCTTCTTCCACAGGGAAAAGGGTGACAACTCACACTTCGGTAATGGCGAGACCAACGGAGAGCATTCCGAGGGCAAAGACAGCTTGAAAGACCGTCTTAGCTCATCGCTGGGGAGGAAGAAGAGTACTAACATTCTTGCATAAAAAAGACAACACCCAACTTTGGGGGGTCTGCATGGATTACATAGCTTGTTTATAATTTCGGTGTCTTGCGAGGAGTTGACCGTGTATAATGGAACACTGGATGTTTGGGTGGGTCGAGCCATTGGTGTGACTTTACTGCTCGTCAAAAGAATCTCTACTGTCTGGGTCAAGCATGTATTCGGGTGAGGGAAGGGAGCCATGCATGACATTTCCCGGTTGTGTCTTGGTGGATCGTCTCCTGGGTAGACTGTAGATAGAGAAATGAACCAACGTTCCTCTTCTATCAGCCAGCCATGGATAAGCCCACTTGATGCTTTCGGTACATTCTTCGATCAGTGTTGCTTTTATGACTCGGGGATATGTATGTATATTCAATCTTAGTACACTCTCATGGGCCCGTCTTGAATCGCCAGCTAGATTATGCTCCAGGCAAGCAAGCCAAGCGATACAGGTATGCTCTATCCCTCCCATTCGCAAATTCAAAGTTTGTGCAACGCCGTTAGGATGCAGCGGGTCTTTCCGGTTTATAAAATTCCATTTCTCGAAAAATGTGACGCCTTGACTCCATGCTCATGATTCTCGTCCTCTACGAATACCGCCCCTCCGCCGACAAACAGTCATCCGCCATCAACGCAAAAAAATCCTCCCGTTCGTAAGATGGGTTTAACCCAGGATCAGCAGGTAGAGTATTAGGACGAAATTGACGAAGATCAGGGGCACTGCGATAGAAACACGCCCCGTTAGTCCACAAGATCTTGGGTGGCTTGGGAGAGGCGCCCTGGGCTTGCTAAAGGGGGAGGGTGGGCATACTTCTCATGATAGTCCGAATGCTGGATATCAGGTTGATGATCTTGCCCTTCACGCTGGTGTCGGGGCCCGCGCCGAAGGAAGGGTCGTGGGATGCGGGGGACAGGCCGACTAGATGGGGATATTGAGTTAGCGGTCGAATTCTCGTATTTGGGGGCCACGGGGAATGCTGGTTCATACTGCGCGCGAGGAAGCGATCCTCGGAGAGGACGGCGACGGCGTTGACGAGGAGGACGTTGACTAGAGAGCGGGCGGGTTAGCCGTAGTCGCATCAGGGAATTCGATGGTGTTTCGTACTCCAGACGAAGTTGCCGACCAGGTAGGTAATTGGACCGGGGACTAAAGCGGTGGCCATTTTGATTGTAGGTATTAGAGATTAGGTCGTCGGGTGTTGGGTGTTGGTGAAGAGGTAAAGGGAGGTGGTCGAGAAAGGTGTTGACAGGTATGCGATCACTTAGAAGCTATTCCCGTAGAGACTGGCTGGAGTTGACAGCTAAGAATAAATGACTGAGGCAGGTGGACGGGCTAAGATTGAACCGATCCGATTCAGTTAAGTCCCTGTAAAGTGTTCTCAACAGGCCCCGACGCTCTGCAGCGCAGCGCCTGGAACCACTAGTGCAGTGCTCAGCCGCCTCCCTACAGACAAACGACAGCCTCATCATCCCTGCTGCTGGTCAACTCTTCCTGAGCCTCTACATATCATAAGGACATTCCCTCGGCTCTTTCATTTCCTCCCTCTCTCTCTGCAAGCTAGTCATATGACCGACGGCGAGAGATTGAAACTTTTGTAATTCTAAATGGAGCATTGATACACCAATCACATTAAATCCGGCACCATGAGGCTACTAGGTATGAGAACGAGCTTCACACATCCCAACTACACACATGACCCCAGCAACGAAGCAGGTGAAGTGTTAAGCTGACTTTGTGCCATCCGCTCGCATTCAAAAGATTACGTCTCCGTCTCTCTCTTGTTTGTCTTGCCTCTTCTTCATCTCCTCTACGCGCCCTACACCAAAGTCGAGGAGTCCTTCAACCTGCAGGCAACCCATGACGTTCTCGTCTATGGCACACCTATATCGGGGAATGTCTACGAACGCCTGAGCACTACCTATGACCACTTCACCTTCCCCGGGGTCGTTCCCCGTACCTTCATTGGCCCTGTGCTTCTCTCCGGTGTCAGCCAGCCCTTGATTGCCCTGTTGGGATTCCGCCATGCGCAGCTCATCGTCAGGGCCGTTCTGGGCGCCTTCAACGCTGGCTGTCTGGTCGTCTTCAGAAATTCTCTGGCAAACGCCTACGGTATCGGCGCTGCCAGGTGGTGGGTGGCTCTCCTGGTTACTCAGTTTCACGTCATCTTTTACCTGACGCGGACATTGCCCAACATGTTCGCCTTTGGACCCAGTATGTATCTTATTCTAAGCATTGATCCTTTTGATGCCACTTGTGTAAACAGCAACTGACATCACGGCACCAGCTACCCTTGCCTTCGCCTTCCTTCTTCCGCGGGCTTCAGAGCCGAGAGCTTGGAACCGCCGAAAGCAGGCCATATGCCTTCTTACCATGGCCACCGCCGTCTTCAGGTCGGAACTGGCTATCCTCCTCGCCGGGACTGGAGCCTATCTTCTCCTTAGCCGTCGCATCACAGTCAGGGCTCTGGCCATTTCTTTCTTCGCCGCTTTTTACATATCACTCCTGATCTCAGTTCCAATCGACTCGTACTTCTGGCAAAAGTTCCTATGGCCCGAACTCTCGGCCTTTTATTACAATGCCATCGAGGGCTCATCTTCCAACTGGGGCGTGTCGCCCTGGCACTACTACTTCTCGTCCGCCCTCCCTCGCCTCATGATCAATCCTCTCGCCGGCCCCCTCATATTCCTGGCACTCTTCCAACCGGGAACATCCAACAGCGCAAGACAGCTGCTGATACCCAGCCTCTTCTTCCTGGCCGTCTACTCCTTCCAACCTCACAAGGAAACGCGGTTCGTCTTCTACGTCGTCCCTCCCTTCACTGCCGCGGCTGCCCTGGGTGCCGACTTCATCACCAAGCGACGCACCCGCTCCCTCTTGTACAAGATTAGCCATCTTCTCCTCCTCGCCTCCGTACCCCTCACCCTCGCCATCAGCACGCTCATGCTCCAGCTGTCCTCCCTCAACTACCCCGGTGGTGAGGCCCTGGCCGAGCTTCAGTCCATCATCCAACGCCCCATCCCCACGGACACTGATGAATTCACCTACCCGACATCCGTCTCCGCCCACGCCGACGTCCTCACCTGCATGACCGGGCTCACCCTGTTCAACCAGAACCTGCCCGGCCTGCCCATCGCCCTCGCCACCCCGGAACACCGCAACGCCGACCCCACGCTGCCCCTCCTCTTCGTCGACAAGACGGAGGGCATGCTGCGGCTCGAGTGGCCCAGCTTCTGGGAGAAGTTCGACTACGCCCTCGTCGAGGAGCCGGCCCGCGCCCTCGGCAACTGGGAGATCGTCGCCGTCATCCAGGGCTTCGACGGCGTCGAGCTCCTCCGCCCGGGCAGCGTCGACCCCCGCCACCTCCTGCCGGCCAACGCGTTCCCGGGAGACGAGAAGGTCGTGGGCGCCGGCCTGGCCGTCGCCAACCTCCGCGAGCGGGTGAGGAAGCTGACCGGCGGCTGGTGGGTTGGGCCGAGGATGTCCAACCGCATCCGCGTCATGAGACAGCGGAAGGCATTCTAGGTCAGTTAATTCTCTCATCAGTAACAATTACCTCCTCTTTTCCTCTTAAAGGATTTATTTTATTTATTTTTGCAAAAAAAGGGGCTATTGGGCTAGGTCAAGGAAGGTCAGTAGCTAGACAAATCAAACATATTCGGGTATCAATATTTGCAAATAGTACGGAGTAGAGGCAAACCAAAATTTGGAGTGAAAAAAATATGTTCAGTATAGCGACTATTGGGATCCAAGTTCGCGGTAATCAATACACCAATTGCACATGAATGGGCCAGGCCAACCCGGCCACCCTCTCTTACAAACCCCCAAAAACGCCTAAACAGCCCATACCTGGCGGTTCCCATCCCGGGAGGGTATCACCGCCACCCAATATCAATAAACCCGCTAGTTTTTTCTGCATTTTTTTCATCCAAAGACACTGCGAAAAAGTATGCTTAAGCAACGGCAAACCACAACAAGTGTTTCCGAATAACCAGAAAGAAGAAAGGAAGTCAAGAGGAGGAAATCACCCATCGCCATCTGAGCTAAAGACAAAAAATCAAGCCAAAGTCTTAGCCCTGTTTTGGTTCCCAACGCAAGCAGAACGGCTCCAAACAGAACGAGGTCATTTCACATAAACTGCTGTGATAAGTTTGCAGGTCGAATATTGGTTAGTGTCGGCGTGCGTGCCAAAGGCTTAAACAGCCGAGAGTTCGAGCGCTGGGTTGGCCGAAAGTAGGTGTTGGATGTCTAATCCTGCTCAAACTCGCTGCTCTGATCATTGGTAAATATCGTGTCGCTTGCCTCTTCGCTCTGCAGTTCTTCGACTCCGTTGTCAGGATCAGAAAGATCACCGTACTTGTCTTTGTATCTTTCAAGCTCTCTCTTCTGCTGAACAAAATAATCCAGGATAGCTGACATTGGGCCACGCAGGTCGTTGAGTTCTCGCAACGTCCCTTCGCCTCTGGCAAGGTGCCTCATAGCGAGTGTAGAGACACAGGTCTGATGGTAGAGGGGTTGATTAGCTTCGGTCATCAAAGGAAAAATCAGCACGCTGTTACGCAACTTACCTCTATCCTGCTAACTTGATGCTCCATGAAATTATAAAGGAATTTCTCAGTCACTTCACCTCCCCGTGCTTTGATCCTCTCGATCAGCTCCGTCTCGGGGGGCTGCAGCCCGGGGCCTCTAACTGTTTCTAGCGTACTGCAAAGCATCTCAAGACGCAGGCTGACTCTCCAAAGGTCCCAGACCATTTCGGGTTTCAGATCGTCTCCTGTCCCAGGACGAAGAGTTGCCGGTTTGTCACCGCCGATCTCTTCACGCCGCTCAAACGCTTGGTGATACTCGATACGACCAGCCAGCGCGTGGGGATAAAGAGAATAGACTATTTCGGGGTTTTCGAGACCTTTCAACTTCTTCTCTCCCATTTCCTTTACTTCAAAGCCCTGTGAGGTCAGAGATCGAAGATCCTTTCTAATGGAATTTGCAAATGACTCATCCTCAAATGCGTCTTCGGGTGTTGGGGTAGAGCCGCTTCGGTCGACATCTTGGTAGTTTTCCAAACAGCGCTGGATTTCAGAGATGAAATCAGACGACACTGTGATCTGCCCACCATCTGCCACAGCTGAAATTCTCGCCGCCTTATTGACCATGGGGCCAAAGTAGTCCATGCGGCGTGTTACGGGGTCCGTTTCGCTCACGCAGTCACCATAATGAATGCCCATTCGAACGGAAAGACCCTTGAAAATGATATTATCATCCTTGTCTGCGATCTGTTGCGCTGAAACAGATCCCAACACTTCGGAAGGCCAGTTGACATCCAACAGGCCCAACTGGACCGCGAAGCACCAGAGCAGAGCTGACGTGGCTGTCGGGAACGAAACCATGAAGGCATCACCTTCAGTTTTGACTTCGTATCCACCGATCCGTCGTAACTGACGTCTCATGAGTTCGTTGTGTAACTTGATGGCTGATCTCATCGCACTAGGATACATCTCCCATAGTGTCGTCGAATTCTTGATATCGGTGAAGACGATTGAGACATTGCCTGTCGGTGCCGGAATCTCCGCTTCCAAACGACCGAGTGATGAGTCCAAAACATCTCCTTTAGCCTTGCGACCTCTCCTTGTTGACAAGGCCTGTGCTTCATCAGGGACGCCGGAAGGATAGAGTGACATGCTTGTGCCGCGGTGGAGTCGCGAACGTTCCATTCGCCTCTTGATGTCTGCGACGCTAATCATCATCACCATGATCTTCCCCGAAGCGCCATACGCCATGGCGAGGTCGCGCAGCTTCTGCGCGGCTCGCATGAGGTCTCCCCTCTCAGCCCTAGCAATATCAGTTACGAGCCCGGGGGAAAGATACTCCCAAAGCTCCCTGGTAGCCATCAGAATGATGTCGTCTGTTTCCCTAATTGTCATATTGCTGACATGCGGAGCAGCTTGAACTATAGGCATGAGATGGCTGTAGCCGAAAGCTCGCGACACTTCCAACGTATCATTCAGTCTACCATTTCGGGAGACCCACCCTCCGGCTTCACGAATTCTGGACCGTTCGGATGGCTCAGCAGGATCATGCTTACGGGTCAGGATCTTATGCGTGCCGTCCGTTTGAATTAGCATGGCCTGGACGTTTCCGACATTGGCCACGTAGAGCTCGGTTCCCTGTAGATATACCACGGTAGCAACACCACCCGAGGTTAGATCTTCTTTGCTCAGCACGAGCGGCTGAGAGGCGGATCGATGCGTCGTCCTAGGGCGATCTTCAGTGTGCTGAATGGAGACTGTTACAAGATCCTTGTTCACGGCCAGGAATGCTCGACGAAGAGCATCAGCGGGGGTTTCGTTTTGCCTAGTCTTTAGTGCTTTGAGCTCTTGGGTGAATATATTTCCAAAGTTTTCGTGTAAATACTTGGCAATCTTCGAGCCTCCGCTAGAGAGAGCCTGCCCATCAAAAAGACCAAGGAGCATTTCAATCTCCGAGCCATTGAAACGAGGAACAACCAGGTCTACTGTTGACAGATGCTCGTTCTTGCCAAGCGTATCTGCCATACCGTATGGGAGATGGCCTGCCAAGGAGCCAGATGTTCGCACACGGCGATCCTCACTCTGGTCCGGAATGCTGGGCTGTGTCAGTGTGACATCCATCAGCCCAAGAACCCTGAGGTTTAACAGCCGGCTGAAATCGGTGTACTGTTCGCGGTCCACGTCACCCGGTCCAGGCAGACCCTGTCCCGCCCATGTTGTCTGTTTGATCTCCAGTCGTTTGTTGCCAGATAAGTTGAGGTATCGCAGGTTTGGATTGAGATTCCAGTTCCAGTCGTACGGCACGTTAGAAATATTGTACTTGAGGTAATTATTACCACAGTCAAGAACGGCGAGCTTCTTTGCCCTGGAGATGTCAGCTGGCAGGTTCGTGAACCTATTGCCGTTGATGTAAAGTGTTTGCAGGAGACTCGACTCTTCCAAGTCATCAGCAGGTAAGCTCGCCAGCTGACTTCCGGACAGATAGAGTTCTACCAACTGCGGCCAGCTCTTGATTGATCTCTGAGGCATGTCCGTAATTTCATCATTGTATGACAGGTTCAACACACGAAGTTCAGCAAGCAGTGTAATCTGGTCAAAAACGTCATCATCAAGGCGATTATCGGCGAGATAAATATAGCGCAGCGATCCCGCAAAAGTCGAGGTGAGTCTTGAGGATAAACTCGAGTCCTTTCTACTAGTCGGAGGGGCCGATGTAGGCGGTGTGGTTGCCAGTGTATTCTGGGACGTCGACCGGGAAACCACTGAAGTCTTGCGTCCGCCTTTTCCATAGACAGACACCACGGAGCTCTTCCTATCTTGGATTGGAGATGGCCCAACGCTGAGCAGAGTGCTCGATGTTTGGCTAGGCCTTCTCTCATCAGACAGTTCCTCACTGCTTCCAGTTGAAGACATTGATCCCATCAAGAGCGAGGGCTTTCCGTTTTGCATAGGCGTAGGAATCTGGGGCTCTTCTCCAGGAACCCGAGGGGGGCGTGATGCCGGTTTCGGGAAGTGCTCAAGGACGTTGGAGGAGGCATTGAAGGTCTCAAGTCGCTTCGCCCACCATATTTCCATTGGAAGCTTGGAAATATTGTTTCCGCGCACGTTGAGAACCCGGAGCTCTGTAAGGCAGCCAATCTGTGGTGGTAATTCTCCAACAGAGTTATTGGCAATACTGAAATGCTCCAACTTGAGCAATGTCCCGATCTGCACGGGCAATGAGACGAAGTAGTTTTTATCCAGAATCAGATGCTCCAAGTTGGGGATGTGAATGAATGTAGCATCGATACTTGCTAGCTGAGCGTTGGAGAGGTTCAGGGTCTTCAAAGTCGGTAGGGTTTGTGTGAGCTCAAACTTATTAAGAGGATTCGAGTTGAGCTTCAGCTGGCGAAGACGTTCGAATTTTCCAGTAAAGGCTGATATAGCGTTATGGTCGGCATAGAGGATCTCCAATTTAGGAAGCTCCGAAATGATGTCGATGGATGTGATGCCGTTGTACTTGATGTCAAGTTCACGTAGACTCATCATATCTTTAAACGAACTGGGCACTTGGTGCGAAAGTCTGTTGTTCGTGATGAGCAGCTTCTCCAGGTTCTTGAGCAGGCCAATATCGTCGGGGAGGCTACCGATGGTATTGAAACTGAGATCGAGATCGACAAGACTATACAGGTGGCATAAGAATGAAGGAAACTTTTCCAGAAAGTTGGAGGAAATATTGAGACTTCTCAATGCCTTGTATTCGCCAAAGTGAGAGGGCAAGTGCTTCAAGCGATTATTTGCAAGGTTCATCTTCAGCAGTCCCTTCAACGTCTCCAGCTCAGCATGTTCAAGTTGCTCGACCCGGTTATTAGAGACATCAAGATAGGTAAGCTTGCTAGCGCGGCTCAGACTCGGCGGGAGTCTTCTGGCCTCGTTATTATTGAACTTGATGTCACGCAGATGCTTGCAGGACTGGATGAAATCTCTTGGGACATCCAACGACAAATTTCGAGACAGGTT